GGCCTGCGGGCTCCGGAGGACGCGTCGCCGCCGCTGGGCTGGGAGCGCAGGCTGCCGGGCTCCCCGGCCTGGCCTTGCGGACAACCTGAGACTCTGGGAAGGTGGGATTAGGGCCCCGCGGCAGGGTTTCCTGGGCCCTCAAAACGTCGCATTTCTAACTTGTAGACATTTCGGAGGAGGAAGCAACTGCCAGAGGACTGATGTCAAAGGTGTGAAACTGGGATTGCCAAGTAAACCCCCCAAAACCGATACTCAAAGGAAGACAGTTGAGTGGAGGGCATCGAGAACAAGGTGGAGAAGAGGTGTAATGAGAAGTGAAAAACAAACGTTTCTTGGTTTGACTTTCTGAAAACTGGGTTTTTAGGGGCTGGGGCGTCCAGTACACATGCTCATAGGTCCAAGCTACCAGCCTTTGAAGGACTGGTACACTGCGCATGCTCAGAAGCGCAGGTTTCCGGGGCAGAAGGGGAGATACACCTGGGTGGGTGCTGCACCTAGGCCAGGTGAATTCAATTCAGCCAAATTCATTCAAACATTCATACACATTTTATTTCATGATGTTGGTTGGAATCCCCTTAACGTTATCAGAATTCATCCCACATCCTCTCTTTCCTGTTGGCATTTGTCCATCTCTCGCATCCCTTCTAGCCTCTCATCTTCGTCCCTGAGCAGAAGCCCCTTGGTCTGGTGTGGTGATTGTTCTCAAGAATACAGACCTCCCTGGTATCATTGGCACCGCAGAGGCGTGTGAACTTGAGCCTTGTGAGTGGCTTCAGTTCTAGGCTTGCAGGGTGGCTCGTGGCCATGGTTAAGGGGTTCCCCCCAGTCTCCATCTGACCAGTTAGCCTGGTTCTTCTTTATAATTGACGCTTGTTCTGCATTTTCCTACCCCCTCTATCCAGGACTTTCAAGTGTGATCTCTTTCGGAGCAGAGATGGTGTTAGCTGGCCACCATCTATTTCTAGTCTCAAGGTTCACATGATCCATTAGTCCTTTGGGACTAAGTACTTCCTTGTGTGTGTTAGTCTAAACCAGTGGTTCTCAACCTTCCTAATACTGTGACCCTTTCATACAGTTCCTCATGTTCTGGTGACCCCCCCCCCACTATAAAACTATTTTTGTTGCTACTTCATAACTGTCATTTTGCTACTGTTATGAATCACGACCCCTCAGAAAGGGTTGCTCAGCCCCCAAAGGGGTCGCGACTCACAGGTTGAGAACCGCTGGTCTGAACACTAACCCTTGGATTAAAATTACAGCTATTTGTTGGTTGTCTCATGGATGATCCTGCTACAATATGGATACTTTGCTTTCATGGGTAACCCCATAATTTCCTCTTCATAGAAGAGTGAAAATCCATGTCTTGAACAGATACGGTATCATGAAATATGCACCCAGTAATATTGTATACAAGCAGTCAGTTATTGTAAACATTTGGATATCAATAAGGAGCCCTATTGGCATACCTGGTCACAGTTAAACAGGGCTACTCTGTCCTGTAGGGTTGGTATGAGTCCTAATTGACAGCATTGGGTTTAGTTTGGGGTTTGGAGATCAGAAAAAGAGGGAGGGTGGGGGAATGATTAATTGCACCATAGCAATTAACGGTGCTTCTGGGTATCCAAGTGGCACACTCCTTTAGCCATGTAAGGGTTGGAGAAATAAAGTTGTTCGGTAAAATTGTGAAAATTTGCCCACCTTATCTTAGTTATCCAGTGCTGCTATCACAGAAACACCACAAGCAGGTAGCTTTAACAAACAGATAGTTATTTTCTCACCATTTAGGAAGCTAGAGTCTAAAACGAGGTGCCAGGTTTAAGGGAAGCCTTTCTTTGTCAGCTCTGGGGAAAGGTCCTCTTTCTGTGTTAGACAGGGTTCTCTAAAGAAACAAAACCAGGACACTTATGATGATAGATAGATAGATAGATAGATAGATAGATAGATAGATAGATAGATAGAGCGAGAAGGAATGTAGCACCTAATAAGTCCACCCAGCAGTACAGAAGGCTCAATTCAACTCACTTTCGTGGAACAGTTAATATACTGGAAGTCCTTCAACTCACATGAGCTGCCGGGTTCATGGTCAAGGAAGCAGACTTCCTCCTTCAGGCAAGGCAGGCTGGCAGCAAACAGCAGTGTGGGTCATCAACAGTCAGTAGCTCAGGAGCTTAGCAAAGCAGGCCCATCGCAATGCAAGGCAACAGGATCCACCAGCCTCATGCTCAAGCAATGTACACACTAGCAGCCTGGTGAAGCAGGTCTCAAAGCCTCCAGTAGGGACACAATCCACGAGCTGGGTTGGCTTGGCCCACAGGTAGCGTAGCACACAGGTTGAGGCAGAGAACTAGCTAAAGCAGCAACATGCTGTTCCAATCACCAGAGAGCAAGAGAAAGGGGCAGGCCTTGCAGAGCAATTTATCTCTTTTCCCTCCAATCAAACTGTGACCTGATTATGTTCATATTGGCAAGGTTGGTACAATAAACCTAACTTTCACACTATACTAATCCTGCCCCTGAACAAAGACAACCCATTCCTAAATGGGATCATAGCTACCAGCATAGAGGTTAGGATTTAGCAACACATTTTGGGGGGGACACAATGTGTAACATAACACACTATGACACCCCACCCCACAACTGGTCCTTCCAACATGCAAAACATTTTTTATCATGTCACCTTAAAGGCTTAACGAGTCCAATCTCATCTTTTGAATTATTTAAATCAAATAAGGGTGGGGCTTGGGGCATATTCCATCCTGGGGCAAAATTTCTCTTCATCTGTAAACCTATGAAGTCCAAACTATAAATTAGCTGATTCCAAAGTACAACATTGGAGCATTTCCAAAATACAGATGTCCAAGGCAGGCATTTCCATTAGAAATTGGAGGGGGCAAAGGGATAAACAGGCACCAGCATCTCTGAAGCCCAGCCAATCAATTTACACTAAGTCTCAAGTTTTGAAATCTGTCCTCTGTTTTCTGAAGCCATCTGGTTTGTTCCTCCAATCCACCCCACCATTCATCAAGATCCCTTCCCGTTCTTCACTAAGTGTCCAACACAGAATCTGGATATAAATAGATCCCATTACATGCTATAGGTATGAAAAGACTCGTTATTCACGTCTATGTCAGATTTTGCCCATCACCACACTGTAGACGGTGCCCTGGTGGCACAGTGAGTTAAGTATTGGGCTGCTAACTGAAATGTTGGCTGTTCAAACCCACAAGTCACTCGGGGAGAGAAAGATGAGGTTGTCTGCTCCTATAAAGATATACAGTCTTGGAATCATTGTGGAACCATTCTACTCTGTCCAAAAAAGGTTACTATGAGTTAGGATTGACTCTGGCAGCTGGTGATGGGTTACACTGTATGAGCATAAAAGAAAAAGTGCCTTTTGACAATTATTTGCCCAAATTCTATATGGGCAAACCTACCAAATCCCTCAAGATAAAAGAATTTAGTATAGTAAAAAGGAAAAGGGCATGGATGATGATATCCGTTGGGTCTGAATGTCAATGCCTGCTCTACTCATCCTAACTGGGACAGTGGGCAGTTATTGAACTTTTGTAAGTTCAGTTTTCTCCTCCACCAAATGGAGATAAAGATACCTATTTTGCCAGGCTATTTAAGGACAATGAAATACTGACTCAATACTATCATGTCTAGCACATTATAGAAATGCTAAAAAGAATAAGTATATATCAAGATGTAGAATTTAAGATAAATATGCTAACCCCACCCCAAAAAAGAAAATAATAAGTATATTAGATTGATTTGCTTATTGAAGTTTAAAGAAAACAAATACCAAAGTTGGGGGAGAGGGGAGGCTCATCTTCTAACATTTGTTAAATATCTCTCATCATACTTGTAGATTTAAATAATTACTACCTAACAAACCTCGAATTTTGAACAGATCCAGTTACCCAGTTACTTTCCAATTACCAAAGGATAGAATGGCTTGGGGGAAATACTACCCGAAGCCTTCAAGTTTATTCTGACTTATCG